CCCCAAAACCCCAAAACCCCAAAACCCCTCAAGAGCTTGAATCATTTATTTGATAAATAATGATAATTATTATCTGAATTCATTTTCTTAATCACACAATTCATCTACTTCACATCATCACATTCATATATTTATGTTTGTACACGATCAATCCGTAGCCGAGAAGCATAGAATAAAATCCTAATTTTCTAATTAGACTAGTGTCTCCCTCATAGGGGTTGTTTTTCATATCCTTAAATCCCTCATAGTATCCAGGGAGACTGGTTAATCCAATGGCCAGTAAAAATAAAGCTGAGGATTGCCATGGTTAGGGTACTTTCGCAGAAAGATAAAATCCAGCCCCACTTAGAATGTTGACAAAAACTCCAAAATGATATTTCTACACATTAAAGGTTAGAATTATTGAATAATAATGAATAAGGCATTGACATACATTGTAGGTGAAATCATTAGAAAAGTCAGATCTCTGTCTTCCATAAATGCCAAGTAGAGTGGCTACAGCATAGGAGGAATATGATAGCTTTGTCCAAAGTGCACTACTCATTTTATTAATAATTTAATTTTTAACAATAAAAATAATATCGTTTAATGCGATAAGGTACAACCTTATTTGGTTCTTCATACTAAGCATTTCAGACTTAGTCTACAGATCAGGCTTACTACAGTCAAAGAACTAGAAATACTAACATCAGATCACATAGGAATTATCTAAGTTAGAACAACAGACTTGATTAGTTGACTATTAATGAACCAATAATTGATCAGTCATAGCAAAACTAGTCAATGAAAGTTTCAACATCAATGAAAAGCATAATATAATTATTAAACGAAAAATTTCAAAGTTCTCCAAAACTAAAGCAAAAGACTTCTAGCAATCAATTTGAGAACAAAATCATATAAAACAATAGAGATTCCTCAAATAGCAGTTAAAAATTTAGAGAAAGATGCTAAGAAACCTAGTAATGAATAGAATCTAATTTAGCTTTGTTAAAACTTTCAAAAGTAGAACCAAATTAGAGCTTTTATGAGCAATAAAAGATTTAACAATAGTTTGAAACATAAAGTGCATTTCTTGCTCAAAATCCTTAAATAAAAAACTATAACCCTAAAATTGAAGCAAACTATTAAGCTAGAGAAAAAAATTATAGTGAATAATTATAATCTAGTAAATGTAGTAATATAAATATTGATGGGAAAACTCATAATCTCAAAAATAATTTGGGTTAGAGAGAAAATATGCACAGAAGAGGTAATTTGAATTAGTTTATCGATGAGAGAAGATCTTTAAGCAGAAAGAAAGATGAGGAAATATTTGATTTGAACAAGCGGATTTAGGAATTAGAAAAGGAAAATAAAAAGCATAAAGATCTGCTAGAAAAATTGGAACAAAAAATTACAATTGATAATAAATAGACGAAAGAATTATCACCTATTAGAAGAGATGATATCATGGGATCAGTTGTTAGTTAAAATTTCCTTGAAGATGAGGAAATAAATAAGATTTTAAGTCAAAAAAGCAGACTTCCAAGTTCTTCAGAAAATAACCTTATACTGGTGGATTTTGCTGATGAGCCTAAAAATTTACAAATAGCAAAAGAATCGAGAAAGTTTCACAAAATTAAGAAAAATTGGAAAATGATAAGAAAAGGCTGAGTGATAGAACCAAAGTCTTTTAAGCATAGGCACTTATTATATAGAAATTGAAGTAGAAAGAGCATTTTCAGAAAAATCTGAATACAAGAATTAATGAAAAATTTGATGTGATTATGAATGAAATCAAAGAAAGTCAGCAATACTCTAAATCTCCTATCAGATCAGCAAAAAAATAAGAAATGGATGAGAGAATATAAAAACTGAAAGAGAAGATACCATAAGTTAGATAATCTTAGTTTAATAATGGATAAATAAAATACAATAAGCTAAAAATAAAAGAGTCATGTAGAATACTAGAGATAATTTTCTTAAGAAAAGGCTTAGCTTCAATCAAATAGCATTAATAAAAAAGCAACATAATCAATGAAAAGCTCCAATAAATATTTAGTAAAAAATTAAAAAGGCAAGAAAAGATTCATAAATAAAAAAGCTTTGATACTCTAAAGAGAAATCTTAGATTTCAAAGAGTTAGACTTGCAAACAATCGAGTGGGTATGAAAATCATCACCAGACACCTTGAGAATTCATTGACTTAAACTCTCTAAATGATCTTTGATGAAATATATGGTATGAAAAAAACCAGATTATCTCTCGATAATAATCGTTAACTTGAAATCTAGTAGAAATTAGTCAAGACTATAAACTTAGACTTAACTGCAAAAGGATCTATTTAACTCTCAAAAGTACAAAAACTATATTAATAGAATAAATCTCGTCAAAGTTTATAGTCATCATCAACTTCAATCTCAAAAGAGATGTCCAGAAGTTCAAACTCAGCAATAAGAAATACTAGACAATCAATGTCACCAGCGAGTTTAAAGATGTTTAATCCCAATAAAAGTCCTGTCAGGCAAGATTAAAGTCCTCAATCTACTAGAATTATGTTTATTTCAAGGAATAATAAAAATAGATAAACTTAATCACAGCTTTGGTCAAAGTACTGATGATAATGATGATAATAGCAAGACTTGACTTTGAAATTAATTATATTTTATGCTTCTAATTCATTGATTTAATAAATTATATCACTAAGGGGTTTTGGGGTTTTGGGGTTTTGGGGT